AGCCACTCCTCGGAAGGAAGGTTGGGCAATCCTACTTCCGTAGTGATACTGCCTCGGAAACCCAAGGAGGGGTCGCTATGAGTCGGGCCGACTCGATGGCAAACAACAACAACAACAACAAATAAATGTATGTCACATAAGCACTTGCTTAAGATTTGCATAACTCAAAAACTCACTGCCGTGGAGTCAGATCCGACTCATAGCGATCCCTCCTTGGGTTTCTGAGGCAGTATCACTATGGAAGTAGATTGCCTGATTGTCCTTCTGAGGAGTGACTGGTAGGTATAAACCACCAGCCTTCCCATTAGCAGTCAGATGCCTTAGGCACTAGGCCACCAGAGCTCCTGAGACTTGCACAGAGGGATTGATTGCCTACCTGAGGGTTACAGTTGCTAAGTGTTGGAGCTGGGATTTGAACTCAGGTCATTGGGATCTAAAGGCTTCTGTCTTAAACACCATGCTATAAGACTTACATGTTTGGTAAAGTGGGGGATCAGCAAAAAAGGGGAAGACCCTCAACAAGATTGCTTGACACAGTGGCTTCAATGATAGACTGGAACATGGCAGTGATTATAAGGGTGGTTCAGGACTGGGCAGTGTTTTGTTCTGATGAACCTATGGTCGCCATGAGTTGGAACCAACTCGATGGCACTTAACCACAAACATAAACACTTACAAAATTATACCAGCTTGAGAGTTTGTCCAGGCTTAAAGTGTAGAAGAATAAAGTTGTCTACCAGCTAGAAATTGATGTAGATCATTAATGAAAATAGTACTCAGTGCTTTTCAGAAGGAGCTGCACAAAAGGGTCATTGGGAATGCTTGGTACACAATGTGAGTTCCCATCTTTGCCCTGATACATGCAATTAGGAAATACTGCAAGCAGCCTTGCTACAAGCAAACCATTGGAAATTCTCAGCATTCTCACACTTGTGTTCCAGTCCAGCTTCTACAAATGCCCAATCAAATGGTTCTTTAAGCATGAATATTTTTATATTCACATCTTTGAAAAATAATGAGAAATAGCCTTCTTAGAATATCAAAGTATCAAGGGTGACTATAGTCCTCCTGATTTATTAGGGGGATTCTTGAATTTTTAGAAGGGTTTGGCTTATATTAAGTGCCATGTCATAAATAAACCTACCCCCGATTTTTTAAATACTGATTCCAGGATTACCTTTCTATTATAAATGCTAACCTTTGTGGTTGGCTGTCAGTGCTTTGTAACATTACATCTTTTTGATGCAAGAAAAAGCTGCCTTTGACTGAAACCATAGTGTTACTTGATAAATCAAGTCTGCCTTAAGCTCTGATCATTGTGAACCTCTTCCTGCTTTGCTAAAATGAATTGGCTGAGGAGCTTGATAGCTTACAAAAGTCACCTGACTCTTAAGGGATTACTCTTGGATTCATTTACATCAATCACTGCTTTTCTGAACACTGAATTTTGCCGGGATTCTCTTTTTCCCCTCATAAATGTATTTAGAAGTCGTCTCTAAGGTACAGATTAAAGGTGTAAAATCCACTTGCTGTTGGGGACCTGAAGAGCTATTCAGAGAAGCTGCTGGGTCAGAGCTAAAGCTCTAATGAAGTAAGTGGGGAGGATCATTCTCAAATTGATGCCTGTCCATAACTGGTAGCTGGATTCCCCACCAATCACTGACACAGACTGAGGAAGCAGAAGGAGGTGTTTCCCTATACAATGAAAGAGTTGTTTTCCTTTAGAAATTTGTAATTAATTTATAGATCTCATATTTAATACATCATTCCAAGTCAATCTGTATTGCTTACATAGATCCACTCTGCATGATGTCTTTGGCATCTCATGTATATGAATAACTCTTTTTACCTGAATCATGTAATAAGATGTTTTGTAAAGTGAGAGCTTTGGAAATGTATATTGAAATGTTGGTAAGGTGTTACCATTTTTAAATTACTTCATTGAAGCCATAGTAACAAACTCAGAGGATCCATTCATATGAAATGTCCAGAAGAATCCATAGATTTGTTTTATCTTTGTTTATAATGAAAAAGGGGGACATTATGTCTTAGCCTGCCTTATAAAGTCTACATGACACTATTCAGATTTCTATTATAAAATAGCATTGTTGCAAATATGCATGTATGTAGAAATTACTGTTAGGAATAAGCACAATAGGTTGGATCTCATAAAAGATGAACATCGGGTCTGAAAATTCCTTAAACGATGACCATTTGCAAATGTTACAGTCTGTGCATCAAAAGGAATATGCAATTGCATGGATTAAAGTTAATATTTTGTATCAAAATGAGATTCCTTTTCTCAGTAAGAAATAAGAGGAAGTGCCAGGACGCCCCCATTGCTACCTGAATGTGTGTGTTGTAGTCTAGGGTCTTTCCTTATCTACTCAATGCATTACACCTGTGTATTCTCTTTTTTACAGTTCAGCAGAAGAGCAGTTCCACTGGCAGTCACAAGGTAAAGTCCACCTTCTTGATGGAAACCTCTACATACATCTCTGTTAATTTCATCTTGGGGGCGTTAGAGAGAGATTCATCCAAGGGAATCCGACAGCACCATGAAAGGCAAAGGTCAATGAAGTTGGTGTGGTAGTTCATGACTTCATGGGTGTTAAGTCTTCTCAGTTCCTTAGTAAGTTTATTTTCTTCCTGAGTACATAGAATTGGCTGACCTTGACCTTCATACTGGTTGGATTAAAGGATTGCAGTGTGATACTAATGGGAACTTCATGGCAGTGACTGTCTTTGTTTAGGATGCTCCTACAATATTAGGTGACAACCTAAAGCTTTAGTATCAACATTGATTCTAGTGCATTTGTTCATCACTTTAAAATATCTTGTTGCAGATGGTCAAAAAGATATTGAAGATGAACTTACAACAGGTCTTGAGTTGGTGGACTCCTGTATTAGATCCCTGCAGGAATCGGGCATACTTGACCCCCAGGATTATTCTGCAAGTGAAAGTAAGTCAATTAAAATTACTTTGAAAGGTTGTTAAAGGATAGGCGTGTTGTGCCATTATTTTTCTAACAAAATTAACATTGTGTGCAATGTCTCTTGGGATTTTAAGTTAGTTTATGCTTCTTTTCTATTTTACTTCCTTCTACCTACCCCCTAGTGCATTAACCCATCCCAACACACGTAAGATTGTAAACTTTCATAGCTCATAGAGTATTTCTAACTTATTGATATTCGTTTTAGCACCTCCACTACTACATTGTATTAACTCAATATATATTTGTTTAATCATAACTGTATTCACTGTAAAATTAGCTATCAACACTGTATATATATAGATTAGTGTACAGCTCTTTTGAACAATATAGCAATTATATAACAAAAAGGAAAGTAAGGCTGTAATAAAGAAAGTCCTAAATATTTTCCACACAATACCTCCTTCCTTTCATATGCTCAGCCACCCGGCATCGCTGTATTGTTCCAATAGGATAACTGAGGACTTCTTTATCTCCACATAATTATAGATTTTTCTCCAGAGAGTCTGAGGCTTAGAAATAAAATGTACCAGGAGTTAAAATGAGCCTCCTTTGAATAAATTATAAAATTCTCTTCACTTATTTTAATAAAACCTCACAGAAAAGCCTAAAAATTAAATCATTAAAACATACATTACCTTGGTATTTCTACATCAAAAATCAGTGAAGCATTTTATTCCTTAATTTAAAAAATAAAAAATTTCTTCAAATTCTTATCAAGGTCTGCTATAGCAAAGGAAGATGTGAGAATAAGATAGCAAACGGATCTTGAAAACCATTTAATTGAAAAATTAGCTCATTTTCTCTATAATCTTCCTGATATCACTCCTCTGAGGATAGCATCATCGTGAGTATCCAGGTTTAGTTAAATCCCTACATGTCCCCTCATGATTATATTATCCTTCTTCACATTCTGTGTTTTAAAATGGAGATTGTCACCTCTTTTCCTGAAGAGTCTGTAAATATGTTTTTTGTTTGAGTAGGAGTCATTGCAGTTAGAATTGCATTGAATTAATAGTTGAGGCATGTGCACTCATGTCTTAAAGAATAAGGGAAGCAAAGAAGCGTGTGGGGTGGAGTGCCTATCTCCTTGTTCGTATAATATTAGAAAAATTAGTATCAGATTATGAGTTTAGAAAGGGGTGACCTTCAATAAATGTAAATGTCAGAACTCCTAAATTAAAATGGGGAGGGGAGAGAATGATCAAAACAGAGGAGGAGAGAGAGACGAATAAACCCAGGTTAAAATGGAAGGAATCATTTATTAGTTTGTAATCCAAAGATAAATGTCTCAATAGAAAAAAAAAAAAAAAAAAAAAGCAAATGAAGACACAAATATAAGGAGCTCTGGTGGCATAGTGCCTAAGGCATTTGACTACTAACCACAAGGATGGTGGTTCAAACCCACCAGCCACTCCTTGGAAGGAACACTGGGCAATCCAAAGATCAATTTCTCAATAGAAAAAAAAAAAAAAAAAAAATCAAAGCAAATGAAGACACAAATATAGAAGGTACTAAATTTCCCAAATAAATGAAAATCAAAATAGCCATAGGATTTCTAAGTTTACACAAATCAGATTAATATGTAATTGTTAAAATATCATCTGCTGATTGGGTGAATGGAAAAGCTGTCCTCATATATTTGTGGTTGAAGAGTAAATTGCTATAATGTGTTTATACAAACACCTGTCTTTACTAAAATACAGATATAGCCATCCTTTGACATGTCGATTTTAGGTGTCTATTGCACAGGAAAAGGAGCTCTGGTTGCAAAATAATGAAAGCCTACGTTTTCTAACTGAAAGGTAATGGGTTCAAATCCACCAGCTGTTCTGTGGGAGACAAATGAGGTAGTCTGCTTTCATAAAGAGTTATAGCTCTGGAAACCCTGTGGGCCAGTTCTCCTCTCTCCTAGAGGGTCACTATGAGTTGGAAGCAGCTTGATGGCAGTGGATTATTCTGTAGAAATGAAGGAATCAGTCATTAAAAATGCATATACTTAAATTTACATGTATGTGTATGTCAGTACACACTCAGACCCTCACTGGTAAGAATGCTTGTTGCAGTATATCCTGTCCCAGACTCATGCTGGCTGGTGGGGAGGGGTCTGGATATTTCAGTAGGGGAATACGTGAAGAATGTGGAATGATGGGATCTTTGAAAAGAATTAATTAACTCTATACCATTCTCATTGGGCAGTTCTACTCTGTCCAATGTGGTTACTATGAGTCAGAATCGACTATATCTGGATGGATGGATGGATGGATGGACGGATGGATCAATCAATAGACAGGTATATAGTTATGTGTAAATATCTATCTGTATAAAGCTATTGTTAGTTGACATTGCGTTGATAATATATATATGGTTATATATAAATATATGTATACTATGACATAAATATATATACTCTTATATGTAAATATATATACTATTATATGTGTATATATATACATATGTGTATATACACATATATATGCACACACACATATATATACATACACAAACACACAGACATACACATATATACTATTGTTAGTTGTCATTGGTCAATTCTGATTCATGGTGACCCCGTGAATATATTTGTTACTGTTTTTGTTGCTTGCCGTTTAGTCAGTTCCGACTCATACAAGGGAACCAAACACTGCCTGGTCCTGCACTATCATCGTTAAGTTTTCCAGCACCGTATCAGACAGTGTTTCATTGCTGTTCACAAGGTTTCAGTGGCCAGTTGTTTCAAAAGTCAACTGCCACAGCCTTCTTCCTAGTCTGTCTTAGGCTGGAAGCTCCTCTGAAACCTGTCCACCGTGGGTGACCCTGCTGATATTTGAGATACCAGTGCCATAGCTTCCAGCATCACAGCAACACAGAAGCCACACAGTATGACAACTGGTGGATTAACATTTTTTACAAAAAAAAAAAAAAAAAAAAAACATTAGCATCAAGTCAATTCCAACTCATAGCAACCCTATGGACAGAGTAGAACTGCCCATTGGGTTTCCAAGGCTGTAGTCATCGTGGAAACCAACTGCTGCGTATTTCTTCCATAGAGAGAGTAGTGAGTTTGAACAGCCGACCTTTTGGTTACCAACCAAGTCCTTAACCATTGTGCAACAGAACCCCTCCAACCATATACACCCTAACTTTTTTTTTTCCTTTTTCACTGAGCTTTCTTAGTTGAAAATTGCTCCTGCATACCAGAAAATGAGCAGTACTTGTAATGTGTTCACTTTGTTTTATGGTAACACATGTCCAATAAATTTACCCACAAAGATGTATCTTTAATATAGAAGTTAAACACTCCTGTCAGGTTTTTCTGAATAGATTTCATAATTGTTGAATTTTGATTTGTCAGAAAGATTAGTTACTTATGTATATGAAAACCCTTAGACATTTTTTTCTTTTTTCGTAAGCTTCCTGCTTCTCTTCCTGATTTAAAGAAAGGAAAACAAAGCAAAATAACACAAACACAAAATAGGCAATGAAAGCACCTCCAGAAAGTTATATTGTAAAGGATTCTGAGGTACATGGAAAAGAGAGTATTGGTATTTTTTAAGAAATTGTTCTTAACCTTTTCAAAGTCACTCTGAGAATGAAATAATTGAGTTAAATTTCAAAAAATATTGAGTCAGTAACTATTATTTTGATATCAACTCTTGCTAATTTTAAGTGGTTGGGGGACCATAAAATAAAAATCTCAATTGCTTTGTGCATTAATAGTAGTTAGGGTTTGGGTAGGAGCTACTTTCCACTCAAAACTGTTTAACTGAGGAGAATATAAGGAGTTCTGATAGCTCAGTGCCTAAGGCACTTGACTGCTAACCAGAAGGCTGGTGGTTCAAACCCACCAGCCACTCCTCGGAAGGGAGATGGGGCAATCTACTTCCGTAGTGATACTACCTCGGAAACCCAAGGAGGGGTCGCTATGAGTCAGGCCTGACTTGATGGCACATAACAACAACAACATGGGACTATTTACAAAGGTTTGGCAAGAGGGTATTTATTTTAGAAGATATTCAATCCCTTCTCAGTAAGGATTAAGAGATGGGCTCTCAAGAGCAGGGCACCAGGTCTCATTTGGCATTAGCTGTTTGATGTCTATTCAAGCTCATTAACCCACTGATTGAATAATTACAGAAAAGCAAGAGATGTCAGAATCCAATAGACATGCCCTAGTTACACGAATGTGTCACGGAGCCTCCATGTCTGTTGAGTCTGGGTATCAAGAACATAAATATGGAAGATTGTTCTATGGTTTAGTGGATGCTATGTTGCTGATGCTGCCTTTGCTTCCCATATTCATTCTCTGCCCTTTCCCCTCATAGACTGTATCACAGGGCCCCTGGCCCTTTAGCTTCTCCTTGGGTTTGGCCAGTTGGAGGCACAGGAAGGAGATCTGAAGTTTGGAGGAGAGAGAGGTTGGGATATGTATTCTGTACCTTCTGCAGGTATCTCCAGCTCTCATTAGATTTGGATGGAACTAGTTCCTCTCTGTGCTCTTCAGTCCTCAGGGAAGTAATGGCTCTGTTCCTCCTCCCTCAGAACCTCAGCATGCTCCTTACTCTTGCCAAAGCACAACTCATTCCCATTGAATCAATTCTGATACCTAGCAACCCCATGCCTTGCAAAGTAGAACCTGCTCCATAGTTTTCCTGACTGGAATCTCTACAGAAACAATCATCAGGCTTTTCTTCCATGGACCACTGGATGAGTTTGAACTGCCACCCTTTAGGTTAGCAGCCCATAACAAACTGTTCATGCCATGTGGTGACCCCATCCTTCTAAAACACCCTGAAAATGGACTAAAATGGTAATCTATATTGATCCTTAAGCAATTACTACTTCATTTGTTGTGTTTAAAAGCTTTTGTTATTTTCCTTTCTAAGATTGGATGAAAATAAAATTTGTATCATTGTAAATCTGTCTTCTTGACCCTAGAGCAAAGAGTTAGTGTTCCACTGCACTGGTTT